ATCAGGATTTTCCCCCGTGTTTATTTCTTGAATATGAATAGTCCATGATAAAATGACCGTCTATAACCACGTCAGTGAGATGTGGCGTCTTACATATTGTCTATGTAATGAATGAAGCACACTGATAACAGCGTTTGTGTTGTTTCCCTTAGACTGTTTCAGAAACATACCACAACACTTCCTTATGTTATTTACTTAAACTTTTCAAAGGTCAACTGTTAATAGATTAGTAAAAAGTGTATTGTTCATTCCAGTGTGATTATAAATGTTGAATATTGTGGAGGAAGATCTATTAAAAGTCCTTGTTCTCTCATACATTTATTTACTGAAGAGAACCTCTTCAAGCACATATATAAAAAAAAAAAAAAAAAAAATCTTGAAAAATTTTTATGGCCCTGTAGGGAGCTGTGCAGAGCCTGTCTTTAGTCAGTGTCAACTGTAGTGTGGATGTATAGGAGAACTTTACGGATACCGGAACAAAAAAATAGATGGGGCTCACACACTGGAATAAAAATGGCCTGCCTGGAACGTTGACCAAAAAACTTCTGTTGATATATGGTTTGCTTCCTTGTGCACCATCCATTGCATGTGGTTCCAGTTTCCCAAACGCTCCCTGCTCATACACCATGACAGTGAGACAAAAATTATACCCATTATTTTCTAAATACTTAGGTGGTTTTACAAATATTTTAATGGAGTGGAGATCAGTCAGTTCTATCAAGAATACTACTTAATACATATATTTTGTTAGAAGAAAATAAAATGTGTCAATATTATTTGTTAGACATATGAATAAAATAGTATATAAGCCTGTTTTTGAAGGAATTAAAATAAAATGATTTACGTGCCAATGATGTTACAAATATTTTTACTTAAACTGTTATTTCCTAAAGTTACTAATTTATTCTTGATTTACCAACTTCACAGAAGCCTCAAAGCTGCTAGAAGGAAGGAAAGATGTTGGGGTTGAGTTTTTCAAATGATCAACTCAAGAAAACAACCTCTATTTCAATTTCCTTTGATTTTTGCTTTTGTGAAATAATGAAGTTCCAATTTTCCACTTCCTAATCACATGAGGCATAAAGCAGCTCGTAATCACCAAGATAAATTGTCAGCACGGCTGCTTCTGCTGTTGTAACCAGCTGTCTTCATACAATAAGACCAGGAGTTTTAAAATAAAAAAACATCCTACAGTGTGAAGTACTCATTATTTTCTCAATTCAGGCACTAATTTCCATGGTATTTAGTAGATTTAAATACTGGGTAATTACAGTAATTGTCCCAAAAATTCCCCAAAACCGCAACAGCTAACAGGCTCAGATTATTGCTTCAGAAATTTGTCACCATGATGGATACATATGAAACATTTTGTTTATTTCGCTTTCATGTGGTCTACTGTAGATCAATGATTCCTAAATTTGTTATAGCACCAAACCACAAAATATGTGGCAGAAACGTGTTGCTGGTTGAATTATACAAACATTCCTAATAAGACAAATAAACCAAGACATCAATTTGTTTTTTGTGAGTCAAATTGGTTCTTCTCATCCTGAACATTTCATTGCACTGACCTTGTGTTAACCTGCATATGACAAATAACATAACAATAGCCTAAACATTGTGTGTTTTTAATTATTGTTTTATCAGTTGATATATATAACCAATATTTTCATGTCATTTTACATTTATGCGATAAATGGGCATTTTTAAATATATTTATTTTTCTTGTGATCATTTCAGGACCCCTCAATTGATGTTATCCGGACCCCTATGGGGAGTCCAAAATCTAACTTCAGATTAACTAACTAATTTAAGATTAGGGTTCTTAGGAAAAAATAAAATTACTGTGAGAGTAGAAGGGCAAAGAAAGGAGATGGAAGAAAATCGAGATAACTTAAAAAGAAAGAACTTAAGTCAATATAATCACACCACACTTTGCAGCCAGTTTTTCTGTTCTTAAAATGACTTCTCTTTTTTTTTACAAGGTTGGTTTCTAGACCCGTTCTACTTACCGGTAGTCCAAATGTTAAGTGCCAACTCTGCATGACTTCCTTCATGAACTAATCATACCAAAATAAGCTATCACTTCAAAATGTTGATGTCCTTTAGAGATAGGTTGTGAAACTTGCACAAAATAGCACTCAAAGCTTCAAGAATGTGGAAGGAGTGTGCAGGGTCCTGGTGAGGTCTTCAGGAGCATATTACGAACAGTTTGGCTCCCTATCATTCATCATAGAGTGTATTTGGTTCACCTTGGTTTTAAGCTTTCACTAAACCACCATAGCATGGTTGTGATGGTTTATCATTATGGTTGCAGCAGGGTCCTGAGTGGAGTGGGGGAACCTTGGTGTCAGCACCGACATCTTATCAATGAAGTGGGGCCCATCCACACCACGTCACTTGGCCATCGAGTATTTGAAGCAGGACTGACTGTGCCAGTTTCATGCTTAGGTTGTGATTGTGTTTGGGACAAACTTACAGAAAATAAACTGGGGCAAAGACGATACCAGTTTCAGTATCATTGTGCTAGCATGTCACTTGCCATGGTCCAAGAAAATGGAATAGAAAGCACAGGAAAGAATTTCAGGGATGTGAAAAATAGCCATAAAAACTTGTTAAGTATTAAGAGCAATACAACTACGTTGAAACATGAAAGAGTTTTTCTTAATTTACTGCGATCCATTCACATTCTAATAGTCCTGTAGCTTGTGGAGAGTATAGCCTTACAAAAGGCAAGGTTTTGCTGTTCCAGTCATCTATACGTTGGTTTGCTATCACTAATGTTTACACTTTTAACAACTCCTGTAACCACACACCTCCCACAAGATTTGAATACAGGCCTTCTTCAGTATACTTACAGTATAGTAACAATCTAAGCCTGGCAATGACTAAAGAAGCCATTTTTGCTCTCATATGATTTCCTTTTATTATGAGCTAATACAGATCACGCATGTATTTTGGCTAAAAATGAGACTGCAAAGATTTGTGTGTGCACTCCTAATTTATAAAAGAATACGTGGACAAAATGCCGCTTTAAAAGCTAATTTGAACTTGAGGTAATATAAGAGAGCAGTTACAAAAAGACACACTGCTTTATATTTGTCACAACAGTGCCATAATAGCACAATTTATTACTTAAATTGATTTGTATTTTCTATTTATTTATCTATTACATCTTATTAAGGTATAGCATCAATATGTTTAGGGAATTTTGTATTGAGGTGCGGCTACAAGCAAAAACACATTCATGTAAAAGTTTCTTGACAACGGTTACAAAGTTAATACAACATAAAATTAAATGGGTAAAGATACAGGGAAAGATGTATCAAACCATACAAACTAAATCTTGTGCATTTTGATATTAGATTAAAACAATATTCAACTGTTGTTCCGCAAACATCTGTCTACACACAGGCCTCCCACCTGTCAGTAACTCCTACAGCTTCTTTCATTAACTAGCCTATATGTCTTCTTTTTCTACTCCCCATCCCACTTCCTCGACCTCGGACCCTGTAGATTCGGATTAACAGGGAAGTAAGTACTTCACTGCTCATTCTTCTGCTTGCCATCGCTTTGTTTTTGCTCTTTACTCCCTTCTCTTTCCACTGTCCTCTATCCACAAGCGTCCCAAGACCAGAGCGTTTCAGGTGCACGTTTGATCAAAAACAAAAACTATTAAATCAAACAGTCTCAGTAAATGAAAAGAAATGGACACAGAGAGATGTGTCTTTTCTGGATGGAGACGGCCTCGCTGTTTTTGTTAGTTTTTGTGAGCGGCCAAGAATCGGGAAGTTTAGTTGCTATGGCAACTGTCTCGAGAAGAGGAGTGGCAGTATTCACGATGATAGCGTTGGGCCAGGGCCTGAGGAATTGTGGATAGCGGGCCTCACAGCAATGGTCATCCATCTCCATTTCAAACATGTTCCTGCTTCTTTCTGACTGGATCCAGTTCAGTTCATCAAATTATTAGCAACATGGACAGACCAGGCATATTAGGAAAATGCAAAAACATAATCAGTGTCATCTACAATATAGATTGCCACATCAAACTAATTTGATAAGAGCTGTCTGGCTCAGGGAGTTTATTCAAATCATTTTGACCTGCACTCGTCACTCCGCAGAGCCACACTACTCGTGTAATTACAGCATCAATTATACTTCAAGCTGCTCCTCTTAACCAACACTGATCCCAGCAAAAGTGACTATTTCAAGGTGAAGTTTTCAAAGGATCGCAAAGGTTAACTAAGCGTTTGTGTTGTTGTTTTCTAACAGGGCTTTCTTTGAACAATTTGCTCATCCAAAAAGTGTTTGTAATTCAAAGTCCCCCGTGTGATTTTTGTCGTGTTTATTCTCCTCAAGGCTGTAGAGGTGACATGTCATTGTTCATTCATATTCACCCCATACACGCTGTGTGAAAGCATCTATCATTTATATCAAAAGCTGCCGCGTCTTTTGATATAACGGTTTTCAGACCACTTTGCTCTTCATAATTAATTTTGCTCTTGAAGGCAGTTTATGCTCGTACCACACATTTGTATGAAAACTGTTTATGAAGGAAGGCTTACATAGAAATGCAGTTTTGGTTTGTTAATTTATCATTTCAGCTATAGCACACATTGACTCTTCAGTAGAAAATGATTTTTTTTTGTTTGTTTTTTTCAGATAGTGCTTTGAGAGAGATGTTTCTGTAGATTAGACAGCTGAAATTAAAAAGTTTGAGCTTTCAGTTTTCAGAGGTTTTAGTTGTCAAATCTTTATTAAATTGCCTCAGGGACTCGAGCATTGTTCATTCAGCCTCCCCCGACAGTTTTTTTCCTTTCCCAAAGATGTCTGCATAATATTTGCCTCATGTTTTAAACTCTTTGTGTTCTCACTGAGGGCAAAGACATCTGGATTCATCAGGTGCAATGCTAGAAAATTATAAACATGCTTCACAGTTGCAGACGTGGTCGGTGGGGGAGCTGTGGGGGGCGGGAGTTAGAAAAGAGGGGGATGGAGAGAGAGACACCCTCCCTTACAGCTGTGTCCAAGGCTCAGATGGCTTACTCAGCATGTCGTTCCTCTTTTCTTTTTCAGGGCTACCATCGATCCAACCACTTCATCGCCACTCAGGGTGAGTACCCCCTCCCAGACTTAAGTTTGTGTCTGTATGGATTCAGGGATGCAGAGCACTTTGTTTTTTGTCATGGTTTAATCATTTGAAGATGATCTGACCAGTCAGCACACAAACAAGACCATTGTCAGAACCAGCCACGTCCAGAGCCGATGCTGTGTCAATAAACTCCACACTTGTGTGGTCACAAACTAAATAACAGAGATTAGATTAATTATTGAGCACATTGATGACTTCTCAGCCTCCTCCCAAACAGGCAGCTGGGCTCTGAATAGTGAGGAAATGTTTGGTTTCCCTTGCTAGTCTCTCTACCCTGAGGAGAATTGGTTTCTATAGCCTTCCACTGCAAAGACAGTGAGGATCTACTTATCTTGCACCAGCACCCCTCTTCCCCTCCTGTTACACGCAGAAAAGCAGATGAAACTTGCAGGAGAGAGAGGAAGGATGTCAGCTGCGCTTTTTGTCTCGCTCAATATTTTTCCTCCTAGTTTTCAAGCTGTGTCTTGCTTCCTAAATGTCTTCCCTCTCAGATGACAAGTGAGTGACTGGTGGTCCCCCAGACCTTCATCATCAGTCACTGATGTCCCTCCTCCCCCGCCCCCTTCTTTTCCTGCTATCTTGGAATTCTCAGTAACTTTGTCCGAGGCACAAACTCGAGAGATCAGAACCTTGTCATCTGAGAAAGGACACTTGGGTCACAATTATACAAGATTTCATGACAGCATGAAGACCCTTCTTGAGAGGGCACGCTTTGATGAAGCATATTGTGACTTATTTTCCTGTTATTTCTTTCCGTTTCCATCTAGGACCCAAGCAGGAGACTTTGTATGATTTTTGGAGGATGGTGTGGCAAGAAAACTGTTTCAGCATTGTCATGATCACCAAGCTGGTGGAGGTTGGCAGGGTATGTTATCACAGTCTTCCCTTATCCTCCCTTCTGTCACAAACCCTGTGTTCAGAAGCATACTGAAACCATCACAACCAAACAGTCTGGTATCTTTTATGTCTTTGAAGGACATATGTCTTGGAAAACCTTAATGTTCAGGCAACTGCAGCCTAAAAGCTGTTAGTTTTGGATGATGATGTGCTTTAGGCAAATAAAAATAAACTGTTACACAGGCTGTTGAACTATTTGCAAAATGCAATACAGTACAAATACATGAATAGTCAAAAACAGAAAATTGTTAAAACAGAAAGTATAAAAGCAAGTAAAGAGGAAAACATAATAAAAATCCAAAATCTTTAATTGCTGTAAACAGGCACAAAAAAAAATACAGTCCAACGATAGCCTGGCTGATTATAAGACAATAATAATGTTGCCTTTAATTAACCTCAGAAATAAGAACTCAGGCATGAGAATTATGTCCAATCCAACGTAATTATTTTACAGTTGCTAAATATCGACCACAGAAACTAGGCTAACTACCATTAGCATAACAAGCTACTAGTAATAACAATATGTATCTCTTTGTTTTATGTATTTAAACACTAATAAAGGTTGTAAAGTACAACTGTTTAAATAAATACAACTTGACATAACTTTATGTGCAGAGCAGTCAGGTTGAGTTTTAAATTTGGGGCTGGTCTAAAAACTCAACTTTTCAGAAATCTGACTGTGGGGGAGCTGGTTAGTACCCAGTGGTAATTGGTTAGCCCCAGTGGTGTAGTCTACATTTTTGTAGGGGTTATACTGTGCTTAGAAACCAAAGTACACTGGTTAGTACAACGCAATTGTCAATTTATTTTAATTTTTAAGCATATTGAACATTTCCAAATTTCTCTGATGCTTATGTTTGAATAAATGTACAACAAACTTTGTACAACAGTTGGCTTTGTGTTAAAAACATGTTATAGAATTTATAAAACGGTATCAAAACAAAACATGTTCAAGTATTAAGTAATAAGTACAGAATTATACAATAATTCGCTGGATAAGCGAATGTAATAAACAAGCGCTGCTTACAGAAAGATTGTTACGGAAGATTTTAACTGCCGTTTAACGTATCAGTGACACATGCCTGATTATATGTCATGTATCATTGGGCACTTTTATTCATTCAACCTTTATTTAGACAGGTAAATCCCATTGAGCCTCGAGGACTCATTTTCAAGAGAGACCTAATTTCAACAAAGAAAGATGACAACAGTGGACAACAACGACAACAACAGACCGTTATAAAAAGTCATACAAATTATTTATTTATTTATTTATTTATTTATTTATTTACAAATAGGATGGCTAAAAAAAAGAAAAGTTACAAAAAACAGCTAGATTCTAAGGCGACTGTAGAAAACTAAAAACAGGAACATGTCTGCATTGGTCCCTGCTTTGAGTCCAACAGATTCTTAAAGCCACTTAGGGAGGTCAAGGTCGAGAGCTTCAAATCTTTTTGTAAGATATTCCAGGAAACAGGAGCGGAGTAGGAGAAGGCCCTTTTGCGTAGTTCAGTCCTCACTGAGGGAACACTGCAGGTAATAATGTCCTGAGAGCGCACGCTGTAACTGCACTCACACAGTGACATGTAGGAGGAGATGTATGAAGGCAGCAGACCAAGAAGTGATTTAAAGATGAAAATGTACCAGTGAGAGAGTCTCTGTGAAGTTAATGATGTCCAGTTAACCAGTGAATACAAAGTGCAGTGGTGGGTACTGGGTACGATAATCACAGCCAGTTATGAATCTTAGTGCACCGTGATAGACAGCATCCAACATCTGCAGGGTTCTTGTAGGAGCGTTCATGTAAATAATGTCACCGTAATCAATGGAGGGAAGGAAAGTCACAGATACAAGGCGTTTCCTAGCATTCAGAGTTTTAAGTAGGTATACTTAAGTTCTCAAGCTTTTCTAGTGTGTATACTCCATATACCTGCGTATTGCGTAGACTACACCACTGGTTAGCCCAATAATTAGCCTAATGATTACTAGTTAAAAGAATCAGCTTAATAAAGACTGCTTTTAGAAGACACTATTTTGAGGTAAATTATTTTACACACCCAATGAACATCCTAAAGTGATTAAGAATTGTCTCCTTCAGTAACACATTATTATAGACAGTGAATGTTGCAGCCTATACCACATTTTCACCTTTAAATAATCTAATTAACATTTGAAAAAGCACTTCCTGCAGAGCATTGTTCCACTTGTGTGGAGTGCAGGATCATCACTAGCCTGGCTGAACAGTCCACAAAAAAATTGAGGCAATGCGTAACATAAACAAGTTAGCATGCTGTATATACATATGCACATTGTATTCTTATTGTGTTTGTAATGAATTAATTTAGCCATGCACTGAAGTGGTCAAAATTTCATGCATTACATCGTATTCATACTCATATTAATTATTGTACATCTGGCAATGCTGAATATGAATATAAATTATGTGTTTGTTCTGACAGAGAGCAACCGAGTTTGTTTTTAAATAACTTCTTATCAATTTTCTGGCCTTGTCACAAACTGTTTTATGGCATAACATTTTGTTGCTATTGCAATAAGAAAGTTTTAAAAAGACAAATCATTAGGAATGATGGATAAACCATCCTTTATTTGTCCATTTATGAAATGTTCTGAAGTTTTAATCCTGCTTTAAAAAAGCATATTAAAGTGCATGTGGAGCAGAATATATTTTATTCAGACGTTCTGTCTGGTCATGCTGCAGCATTATGTTTCGCCACACATTATGCTATAATTTCCACCTCAAGTATCCCATCCACATTTGTTCGGGCAGGAGAAACGTATCACCTCAGCAGATGGTTAAAATGACACCATTTTTCTAACAGAAGCTCTTCATCCAATTTGGTTCCCCTTCCTTACAATTCTGGAAACAGTCGATAAATGAGAAGTGGTCTGTGTGGCAGAATCCAAATAGCACCTCCATTAAATGAAAAAAACAAAAAAAACAATAATTACCTCCACTGTATCTGGTAATGGTTGAAAAAAGGAGTCCCCCTGTTCCATTACGCTGTCTGTCATTATGTTATTATTTAGCTTTTTTTTTCTCCCTGTCTTTGCCCTCCAAGATAAAATATCTGCAGAGAAGCAGGTTGTGTTTGTTCTGCTGCAGCATTTAAAGGGTAACTACGACATGCTTTCAACATGCAAATATACTGGTAACAGAGAATGGACAGTACTGTGTTCGATAACACATGTTCTTTATTAAAAGTGTATGTGCAATTAGTTTGTTCATTTGCCCACAAGTACAAAAACACAAGTTTCAGACATTTTCAAGGCAAATGGATGTTCTCAACAACAGAAAGTATTTTAAACTTTTATAATGTTTTAAAGGATTTCACAACACTCGTAAATCCTGTCAAATGTACTCACCTTGCACAGTTTTGCAAATGTGCATGGACTCCAAGTTAGGCAAACTTTAAATGCTGTATTGCTGTTATTAAATAGGTGAAATGCTGTAAATACTGGCCTGACGACAGCGAGATGTACGGGGACATCAAAATCACCTTGCTCAAATCAGAGACGCTCGCCGACTACACAGTTCGCACCTTTGCATTGGAGAGGGTGAGTTTGTATCAGATTTACATTTTGCCTTTTCTAACAAGCTCACTTCCTTTTGGTTATTTCTTATTTAGCAAAATGGGTTGTTTTTTTTATTCATTGCGGCAGTTTTATTGGAAATTTTAATCTCTAAGGTAACACTTGCTGTTACTATCACAGCAAGGAGTAAAATTAAAAGCATCATGCTTAAAAAAGGGATTTAGGATACGTGATGGGACTTTGTGCGGATGGATGTGTGGTCCACCTTTTAAACTGAAAGGATTTAATGCCAGCCCCTGTGAACGCCCTGCCGTCTTTCCAACGTAGCTCCTACAACGTTGTGTCCCTGATGGCTTCTGTCCTGTCAATCTCCTGGGGAGTCCTCCCACTGGACCGGCTCAGAGCGTCGCTGCAGTGACAGTGGATTACCATCACACCGTCACATTCGCTCTCGCTGGGTGCATGCTGCTGCTTATTCAAATCAGGATGAAAATGGGAAAGAGTGACAGCTCTTTCGTATATTTATTTATTTATTAATTTCTGTTTCCAACAAACAGTTGCTTTGCAAAGGACAAAACTGCTGTAAGACTGCAGCAGCGTCTCAGCAGAGTGAAGGAACCCCCACCTTTCCTGAGCTGTCTTCAGTAATTATTTTCTGCACGTCTGTCTCACCGCAGAGGTCTAATAGTCGTAGTAAACCTAATACCTCACGTAAATATTTCCCAGGTGGTGAAGCTGAACCACAGCTATGAGAAAGGGAGAACATCCTGTTTGAGATCAGGATGCTCAGTCTTCTAGAATTAGAGTTCTACTGTGTAAGTAGTTATTATGTTAAAACAGTCATAACTGATGTTTCCATCTTTTGCCAGAGAGGATACTCTGCCAAGCACGAAGTTCGTCAGTTTCACTTCACGTCCTGGCCTGAGCATGGTGTGCCCTATCACGCCACCGGGCTGTTGGCGTTTATACGAAGAGTGAAAGCCTCTACGCCTCCTGATGCTGGCCCGGTGGTGGTCCACTGCAGGTAACTTGACGTCACCCACACTGGAACCTCTTAAAACCCATCAATAATCTTGATTATATAAAAAGATTTTCTGCCCAAGTATAAGCATGTAAACATGTATTAAATATGTTTCTCCTTTGAGAAAGTAAACGCCTCTAAGTAATGATTAACAGTCTGTAAGAGTCTGTTGTTCTTTTCACAAACTCGCTGTTGTTTTTGTTTTTTTACTTGTTGTAATGTGCCAACGAAAGGTAAGGCCAAACAGGCTGTTTACTGTACATTAACCAACAATCTTACAATCAAACACATGCAAAAACACACAAATGCCACTCATCGTATACATTCATTCAACCTTTATTTATACAGGTTAGTCTCACTGAGCCACGAGGACTCGTTTACAAGAGAGACCTGTTTTAAACGAAGAACACAGATGACAACAGTAAACAATCACATAAAAAGCATATAAAATGAAGAAGTAAATAAAATAAATTATATAAAAAAACTAAATAAAAAACAGCTACATTATAAAGCAATGTGAAATACTAAAAACAGGAACTTGTCTGCATTGGTTTTTTTGCCATGAACTTAGCAGATGTTTGAAATCCCTTAGAGAGGTCAAGGTTGAGAGCTTCAGATCTTTTTGCAAGATATTCCAGGAAACAGGAGCGGAGGAGGAGAAGGTCTTTTTGCCAAGTTCAGTCCACACTGAGGGGACACTGCATGTAATAATGTCCTGGGAGCGCACGCTGTAGCTGCACTCATGCAGTGACATGTTGGAGGAGATGTATGAAGACAATGGAGAGTCTGCATGAGGTTAATGGTGACCAGTTAACCAGTGAATACCGGGTGCAATGGTGGGTACGGTAGTTACAGCCAGTTATGAATCTTAGCGCACTGTGGTAGACAGTGTCCAACATCTGCAGGGTGCTTGTAGGTGCGTTCACATAAATAATGTCACTGTAATCAATTAAGGGGAGGAATGTAGCAGTTATAAGGCGTTGTAGCAATAAATAAGTAAAAGGAGTAAAGAAGCACTACATGCAAAATGAGGAATATACTTTAAAAATAAAGAGTGAGATGACTAAATTAAGCAAAAGGACAAAAATATATATTTTAACTTAAACCCCCAGAGCAAGACAGATGTTCTTTTATATACATTGTAGGTGCAGCCGTCTGCTGTTTAACAAGGTGCTAAGAGCTCCCGCGGTGTTACTGAGTGTTGAGAGCCTGTCTGTTTTGCCAACAATATTCTATCACATCCTTTTTTAATGGAGTCCATAGGTTAGCACTGGTCCGCTGACCAGTTAGTTCTGTCTTGTCTTAGTTCCCAGAGATTCTGTTGCATTAAAAAAACCTGTAGAAGCCAACACAATGTCAGGAGTAAATAAACTGTTCAAATTCTGACTCATGAAAACACATGATTAAAACTTACAAACATTGCAAATAAGCCAATTAAAATGGGCTCAGAGAAACAGAACACACTCCTATGACTCTATTTTTACCCATTTACAACCACAATTATCATTTTATGTCTCAGATTTGGAGAAAATATGCTAATAGAAAATATTTTTTCAATTTAATTTGATTTCTGGGGATCGTCTCCAGACTCTCCACCTCTCATGTCTCTCAGTAATATATGCTCTGCAGGAGTGTCCTGGATACGCCAAAGACCAGGGATAAAAATATCATCTGATGGTGATTTGCTTTAGGCACATAACACCTACAAAGTCAAATCCCAATTTTCCTAGATAAAAGCATTTTCTCCTTATTGCGTCAAATAGTCACTTGAGTATTATTATGTATATTTATTGTGCAAATCCAGAATTACGAGGAGACACCATACAATGACTGTCTGACAGCAGAAAATACAAATTATAAGGTCGTGAACTTGTGGTGCTTCATGACAGTTGCTCTTTTTTGTTTCGTTTTAGCGCACCCCTCTCACACTTACACATTTCTCATAAGGAGGCATTTAAAAATGTTTGTAGATGCCTCATCAGCCTGATTCATCTAACTATGATGTAATGTTGTTCAAAAAGCACACAATAAGAACAATACTCCCAGTCTTTCTGCTGCAGATGATCTCACTTTCTGATCAAAATCCCTAGAATGGATCGAGGTTTCAACTCGTAAGATTTAAATAATCAGTTGTTTGAAGTCAAGAGCAATAAATATTATTATTATATGTTATCTGTTGAATTTATACCGTAAGTAATAATTAGAACTCATAAACCAGCAACAGTAAGAGGTGGAGCATGTCTGCAAAGACTTCTTTAGAGCCTGCTAATTACTAGAGTGGGGGCTTTGTGAGAGGACAGCCTTGAAAAGACAAGAAATATATACAGTAGTCCCTCGTTTATCACGGGGGATCCGTACCCAGAAGCCCCGCAATAAGTGAAAAACTGCCAAGTAGGAATAGTAGTACAAGTAGTAAATAGTAGTTTATTTTAGTGTGTGTGTATATATATATATATATATATAT